GTAGGTCACGGTGACCTACTTTTGACATTTTATGGCTTTATTTAAGTATCTACAGTACTTATTGGCTTAGAATCATCAAACTTTGTAAGTTGATGCATCTTGGGTTTTCGGAGAATGATGTCCAAAAAGTAGGTCACGCTGACCTAACCTAAGTTTTGGACATTTCAGGCTTTATTTAAGTATCTATGGTACTAACTAGTTTAACTTTGTTTGTTGATGCATCTTTGGTTTTTAGAGATTGTTGACCAAAAAGTAGGTCATGGTGACCTACTTTTTGGTCGACAGTCTCGAGGACTTATTGGCTTAGAATCATCAAACTTTGTTAGTTGATGTATCTTAAGTTTTCATAGAATGTAGACAAAAAAGTAGGTCACAGTGACCTACTTTTAAAAATCTCAAATACTTATTGGCTTAGAATCTTCAATCTTTGTTTATTAATGCATCTTGAGTCTTCAGAAAACTTCAATCTTAATATAGGTCACTGTAATGTACTTATGGTTTTTTATAACTTTATTATTAAAAATATTTTCAGTCCTAATTGGCTAAGAATCATCAAACTTTGTCAGTTGATGCAACTTGGGTCTTAGGATACTCAGGGCTAGAGGCTTCAAATAGAGGTGATAGATTGTACAATTTATCAGAAGAGCGATTCAAGGCCCTTGGGCCTCTTGTTTTTAATGTTGTCTGATATTCAGTGGACGGCCTCTTAAATTGTTGAAAGATATTGCATATACCATGCAGCTCTTCGCTGCACTTCAAACACCGTATGTTAACATGTGAATGACCAGGGGACCAAGCTAATGTCGAATAAAAGAAAGTAGGTCATTTTGTAATTCATTTCAGAATATCTCATGAATGTTTATCTACGAATAGATTTAAATAGAAAGTAGAATTTTAGAGCATTAGAATAAAAAAATGTTTTATTAGCGAAATTGGGTACCCAGTGTAAGATTTCCATACCTTTTTTTTTTTTTTTACACACAATTTTTTAATGCGATCCAAAGGCCTGTAATCAAAACTAATCAGTAATTGCTGTAAAATATGCACCTCTTTCATAAAACCCCTAAAAATTACTAAATCAGCTACCCTACACTTATTGCTACTATGCACACAAAGGTGAGGTGAGCTTAAATGACCTGGAAGGCAAAAGGTTTGTTTACAAACAAAGCAGACGATCCGTAACAAGATGAAGTTTACTTTCATTGGTTGTACTAAACTTTTTATACCAAGTTTACAAGAAATTAATTTTTCAAGAATCTCGGAAAATTAGAAGTTAGTATATAATGTAAAGGTATCCCTGAAAAATCTTCAACATCTTTTCCGAGTTTCATGGAAGCAACCGACATGACTTAATTAGCATATCGTCAACAATCGTAAGTTTCCGGTGACGTCATTTGTATCACTTCCGAAGGGCAAGGTGAAAGCCTGTGTTGTGGTATGGTGTATTATTTTTTTATAAGGTAAGGCAAAATCATTTCATGGGCTCTTGGATAAAAACAATGTCCCTTTATTATTTTTTTTTTTTAACTATTTTTCATTTCTCCAAGATGACAATGTGCTGAGCACGTGTTGACATAATTATAGAAGGATATGGAGATAATGAACAGTATTCAATATCAAAGTCAATAAAACAATACAAATAGGAGCAGAGCAAACACAAACCTCCGAAACATCATAGTTTGGATCAGGTGCCATGGAGGAGTGAGCATCCCCTGCCGACTCGTCACACCCGCCGTGTGCTCCTTATCATGATCATAAAAGTACGGAAAAATCCTTCGTCAAATCAGTGTATAAATAATGGACTAACAATTAGTATGAAAAACGTCTGCCAGCATTTGTCTCAATGATAAATTGTATTTGCTGACAAGATCATTGTATCGACCATAGAATTTACTAAAAATGACCTTAAACGAGACTGTTGATGTTCTTGTTTCATCAACTTGCTTGTCAAAATTTTACCTAGTTTTAGAAATTGTTCATACGTAGAGAATGCTCTTGCGTAACGAATCAACTGAGATATATACACTCCGTATGCAGGTGATGAAGGTATATTGCTGCATAAGTAAGGGAAGTTGACGATAGAAAAGTTCAATTCATCATGTTTATCATAGAGCTTAGTTATTAGATTATCATTAACATCTTTTTCAAGTAAAATATCCAAGTATGAAACAGATGTGGCAGACTCTGTGGTATCTTTATCTCAAGCTCACCAGGATATATCGTATCGACGTAGGAATGGAAATGACCATTGTTAATTGAAAATACGTCGTCGATATACTAAATGTCGAGTTGAAGGCCATAGCAAGTATTTTCACTCATAAGATTTTGCACTAATTCTGCTTCATATTAATATAAAAATAGGTCTGCTAATAACGGAGCGCATTTGGTACCCAGGGGAATCCCAATAGATTGTTGAATACCTGGTCTCCAAAAACCTCATAAATATTGTCAATCAGAAACTCAAGCATCTCTTTGATGTCATCTTCAGAGTACTTGTGTGTGCAATCAGAATGTGTTTTACAAAATAATTTTGCAAATGATCAATGACCAGGTAAGAAAATTTACGAGTTCCATTTTTATTGAAAAAGCAATTGTCAATGATATCAAAATGCCAGGACTTTAATTTATCGTGGGAAATGGTTGTGTATCAAGTTGAAAAGTCGTAAGTTTTTTTGCTGTTGATTTTGGTAAATTCTTGTGATTTCAAATTATCCAAAAGTTCTTTGGAATTTTCTAGTATCCACATCTGATTCACACCATTTGTTGAATATATTGATGCACAGTATAGCTGCCTCACAGCTGGGTAATTACGTATAATATATTACACAAGTTGCTGATAGAAACAGTTGATTTAAAGTCGAACAATTTGTAGAATTATCCTGGTGTTGTAATTCTTGCCGGATACAAGAAATACTCAAACCTTGTCAACATGCACTGAAGTACAGTACCGCACAAAAGTAAACGTCCACTCATATGACAAATATAAATCTCCCATTATCTCAGGAATAATTAATTAACTATTATTGTGACACGATAGCGGTGTTTTTCTTTGAAGTTTACTGTTCTGTATTAGCAATACAGAACGGGACTACGGTGGGCGGAGCTACTTTCCGTTCTGTATTATCCCTGTATACAGTATTGTATTTGCCAACTATTCTGTATCTAAAATACAGCACGGTCTAAAAATAAATCTGATTCAATTCAGCAAAAGCACGTACAAATAGTAAATGCTGATGTTTTCCTATTACATAAATTTTGGAGAAATACCCGGTATTTTCCTGATGTCAAAATTTCTCAATCACTTTTTAAAAACTTATTCCACACAGAATCTACACGTAATTTCGATCCAAAGTAAAAGGAAAATTCGCAATAACGGAAAACATCCTCTGTACTACGTAATTTCGCTCCAAACGAAACGGAAAATTCGCAATAATGGAAAACATCCACTCTCCTCGTGCAAAATCATTTAAGTCCATTTTTTCCGCGTTTTTATTTTTTAAAATCCTTCTCGCTGACGACAGCCACACGTCTCTTAATGTCGCAATTCAATTTGAAAATAAAAATCCGTGACATCAAAGTCCATCGAAGAATTTTCTGTAAATCCTGTTTTTGTTAATCTAGGTAAACCGGGATTTTAAGACCCCTCAGTGAAATAAATTTATGATAAATCTCCAGATCACAACAATGACGGTTAAATCCTCCACCTTATCCATTAAGACTGACTCTCGATTACGTCTACCCCGTTAAATTGTCAAAACTAATCTGAGCGAATTTTCGTTTTCCGTGGAAATATATATACTGCGGATGCGTACTCCCCGTCGGGGCCTCATCTACAGAACTCTGGCGGAAGTTTGGATGCTGCAAAGTTATAAAGTGGGCGGAGCTATTTTTGATTGATCGTGTCACAAATCATTTAGAGAACTCGACAGGTTCTGTATCGTAGATACAAATTTGGGGGTGGAGACTCGTGCTCGCGCACTCGTCTCCACCCCCAAATTTGTATCTACGATACAGAACCCGTCTCGTTCTCTAAATAATACTTATTCCTATGAACATTTGCATTTAATTTTTTAACAATGTCAATAAAAAATAAATCAATAAGCAAATCACTGACAAAATGGGTTCGTAAGAATATGAAAGCCCTAATGGCCCATCTCGTCTAATTCTAAAGCTATGATCAAGTTAGAATCAAAGTTTTATTGACAGACCAATGAAATTTCGCAAAAGCGGGTACAATTAGATGAACTTTACGAGAGGGAGGGGGGGGGGGCAATGAAACATATTGAGATAACGAACAGTATTCAAGATCATCAGAGGTGGGATCAGGTGCAATGGAGGAATGAGCATCCCCTGCCGACCCGTCACAGCCGCCGTGAACTCTTTGTAATGATCGGGAAATAACGGAAATCCATCGTCAGTTCAGTGTATAAATAATGGACTTACAATTAGTATGAAAAAAGTCTGTCAGCATTTAATTCAATGATAAATTAAGTTTGCTAACAAAAGCATTGTATCCACAATATCTGAGCTTACGAAATGATGACTTTACACGAGACTGCTGATATTCTTGTTTCATCAACTTGTATGTCAATAATTTACCTCCTTTTAGGAATTGTTCAAACGTAGAGAATACTCTTGTGTATCGAATCAACTGCGGTATATAAATCCGCATGCAGGTGATGAAGGTATATCGCTGCATATGTAAGGCACATTAACGATAGAAAAATTAAGGTCGTCACGTTTATCATAGAGCTTGGTTGTTACATGTAGATTACCATTCAAGTCTTCTTTTTCAATTAAAATATCCAGATATGAAACATATGAATATCGGGTCTCTTATTCAAAACAATGTTTACATGAACATTTACAAATTCAGTAATTCAATTATCTGACAGGAATGATCAACTTCATAAGTTCAACTTCATAAAGTAACAAATTTATATTTCTGCTTGAACCAAATGTACACTGATATATATATAAAAAAAACAAATTTACCCGATGAAAGTCACTGTTTTAAATTCGAACTGTATTCGCAAATAAACGGCAGATATAGCCCCCCTTCACCAGTAAAATAAGAGTAATCTTTCTCGGGTACCCAACTCCATTCCCCCTCTTTATGTGAAAGTAATAATCCAAACGGTTCGTTGATATGCTCCCAGTATTCATCTTCGTTAAATTCATTAATCTTTGAAGGATTCCAGTTTGTGTATGTTACAGTGGTGTTGTCGTGGAATCTAAATTTTCCAGGATAATCTTGATTTAAGTTGCTAACTCGAACATAAAATGCATTATCCAGATCTAGATCGTCCTCTGTAAGTAAATTTTTAAATTATTTATTGCCTTTTTTAAATTAACCTTCTACATTTGTTCGTTATTGATAGAAAATCTCAAAATATAAAATAATTGTATACCCGGATGCACGCTTTTGATTCCTAACCGAAATCCGTACCAACTTCCATACCACACAAGTAACTCAGTATTTGGTGTCACAACTTGTGACGTCATATAAAATACCAAGTCGTCACAGATCACGGAATGGACATTTTCTTCTTTGGAATTTCTAGGACAGTTGACATACCTCAACCAGTTGCTTTTGGCGGGGGAGGCTCCATCAACAAAATGTGTCGCTGCACCTTTGTCACCCGAGTTGAGCTGTTGAAATAATAATGATTCACAATTTAAGTAATAAAATATTTCAATTGAATTTTGTTAAGAGTTTTTATCATCGATAGTCATTATATTGTTTTCATGTAACGTTTCAGAAATCGCACATTTTCCGACTTTTTAAGAAAAGAGTGCAATAGGAAATGATATACCTCTTAAGCTTCCATAGTGAAAAAAAAACGTTTTCTGTGCCATTACTATTAATTAAATGAATTATTTGGCAATACTTTACCGGTATACAGTCCATTAGAGTTTATTGTACAATACTCTGTTCTAATACATACTATCCATGCATACAGGTGATCCTGATCATTGTCGTCAAAGAACTCTTCCCCTTCGTAGATCCCTACCACTTTATAAATGGGGATCTCGGTTTCTGTCCATACCCCGAGGCCTGCGTTTGGAATACTGGATGTCTTGATGCAGAAGCCGGTAGGTGTTGTTAAGTTGGCACGGTTGTGTTCACTAAACTCCACAGGTAACTGAAAGCATCATAAAATCTAATATTGGCCAGAGAACCAATAGTCTTATCATCAGAGAAAATAATCTGATAAGTGAAGTTCTTCAATACAAGAGAAACGTGATCAATAAGGATCACCAAAATAGTGAAGCTGGGTAATCAATAATCAGCAACATAAGTGTGCTTTATCATGAAGCAAAATTTAAGTCGCGGGCTAGAATCCCAGTGTGGGATGTGGAGACCGGTCCTTTGGATAAGACCGTATCAACCGCGTCGCGCAGTAGGTGCTGGAACGAAAAAGATCCCTCAATGCTCAATGACCCCGAGTGCAAAAAATATGCAGCTCTCTGAAGGCAAATGGTGATGTCTCTATATGAACGGAAAAAGTCTCAAGAGGACGTTATACAACTACAATATTAAACATAAAGCGCAAAATTAATTTACGTTCCCAACACGATCCCTATATCTTTTTATCTCTTGGTTTTTTTTGGCTTATCGTAACCATGTACTTAGTCTGCCGGATAAATACCCAGGACATAAGAATTTCTAGAGCCCTCATCGTCTCAAGCCACGGTTTGGAGTACACATATAACTCTCTATCAGAAGAGTTGGAGAGGATCGGACATTTTGGCCGTGATATGCGACGATGTAAAGTCCTATCTTTACATGAATCCATGACCACGAGTCATATATTTCACAATAATGGTGAAGATCTTAAAATAATTATGACATCTGTTTGAATGTTTTATGCAAGGGAGAAGTGGGAAGACAAATTTAAAAAGATTGGTTAACCGTTCTTTTCTATCTCTTAGACTCCAAGGAGGCAGAGATCGTGAAATCCACAATGAATGCTATCTAGCAAAATTGGTTCAAGAGAAATAATTGTAAAAAGAAAAATTTTAAATACTAATTAAAGTAAGACAAACAGTTAACTCCTGATGAACGACAACAGACGAAGAAATGTAATAAAAGCTAGGTAATCTCTGGGTGAATTTAATATAAGTAATGTGCTTATCTTTCAAAAATTGAAGTTATGCACCGAATGCTAGGGAAATAGGTAGATGATTAGAATTTCGGACGTTTTCACCTACAGTTGATGTAAATATGCGAATAGTTTGGGATTAAGCGCAATGGGTAGGCAATTAACATAAAGAGATCAATGATAGGAATTAATACAGTTATGTTTACATTTAATTAACATAACAAACACGTTATGGGAACAAAAGGAAGCAAACAGACATGATCGAAACGTCAGATCTGTTACTGTTATTTTTTTTGTGAGACATGCACAATGTATCAATACCATGAAACGCACTCGATCAGAAACATCAGTAGAAATACATCACTGATAGGCGGACAGGAATCAAAAGAAATTTAAATATACAAGAGAGAAATAAGAAAAAAAATAAAGATAGGAAATAAGCAATAATAATTCTCTCTCTCTCTCTCTCTCTAAGAACTGTGTGAATAAGAAAGAGAAGGTAGAAATAAAAGATGAGGGACTTTTTTGTTGTTGTTGTTAAACGTCCTTCTCGATAATGCTTCACTTGTACGGAGACGCAACCATTTGCCGGTGGAGACCTGCAAAATTTTGTTCTATATTTGGCACTTAGGGCGTCTAGGCAAGAAGTGATTTATTTTTTTCGAGACAGCACCTACTGCGGCGTGGGATCTCGGTTTATACGGTCTCATCCTAAAGACTGGTCTCCACGTCCCACAGTAGGATTCGAATCTGCGACGTAAATATCAACTCCTTGCTCCGCGACTCCAGAGCAGACGCTCAAACCATTGCGCCACGCGGGCAACAGAGGGACATTTGAAATACAAGTGGATATTTTCAGAAAGTGGAATCATTGTTATTGTTTAAAGCCGAGTCGGCAATATCTCAGCCATATTTCTGCGGTTAGAATGAGGAAAGAAATAACTAGATCAAGTTATTCTTAATATAATTTAAACAAATTTCAGGAAATTATTTACTCTTCTTCAAGTTTATGGCTAGAACTTTGTATGAATATGTAGAAAACCCACATGAAATACCAGTAAGTGAGCCAGATCGGTTTCTTTTTTTGTGCATTTGTATTAACAAAGATTCATCACAAATGTATACGACATAATTATTAGTATTCACGCAGTATTTTTAAAAACGTGCACAGCAACTGTTCAACAACTGTGTAAATACATGAACAATATTTAATTACCTTGGCATTTGGGATGTACATTTTTGATGTTGGTTTTGTAGCATTATACTTCTTGTAAAACTCACAAACTAGAAAAAACATTAAGTCGATATAAAGATAAATTAATTCTAGTCTTTTCAGCAACATATTGTGAAAGTATGGTTGATGGATTAGCATATAATTACCACTTTGAATAAACTGGGAAATAGTTCGATAACAATTACATGTATATACTATTAAGAAAACATAAAAGATGGTTGTAAAACACGTATACCCCCTTCCCCAAATACTTTGTATTTTTCCAAGTCCAAGGGACATAACTCTGTCAAAAATGGCTCAATAGTACCTTGAGCAGAACTTTGCCTATATATTTTTATGATAAATCTGTATACTGAATTTCGTTTAAGTATGTTAACCTTTACAAAGAAAATGACCGGAAACTGCAAATAAGTGGAATTTTTTAAGTCCAAGGGGTATTACTCTGACCAAAATGGCTCGATCGTACCCACAACAGAACTTGGCTTAGATATTCTCATGATAAACCAAATTTCATTTCAATATGTGCATCCTCTGCAAAGAAAATGAACGGAAACTGATGGTGGACCGACAGACAGACAGACCGACAGACATCAGCAAAGCATTATGCCCTCCCTTCTTCGAAGGGGGGCATAAATATTATAATGTGAAGACTTTATATATCTGCACCTATGTATTTATTAATCATTTACTTTTATGTATTGCAATCCCGTTTAAACATTGTTAATTCTAGTATACTGACAATTATCGGCATGTTCTTCTGCTGCTTTTAAAGTCAAATATGACTTTCGCAAACCCTGAAAAAAAAATAAATTTAAAGAATTGGTAATTGTTAAGAACAAAAACCCACTCTTCAACTTTAAATGTGCAAATCAATTGGTTTACCTCTCGATATGGTATGGACATGTGGAATGAAAAATTGTGGGCTAAATGAAAAAGAAAACAAGATGTGTTTGTGAAACACTATGCGCCCGGCGGCAACAAAGTTTGAAAATAGCTATTATAGCATACAGGTCAAAGTCAAGATCACAAGGTCATTGACCTCGGTGTAATATGAAAGAACTTGATTAGTGGAGTACGCGTACCATATATGAAGTCTCTATCTTTTATGTTCAAAAGTTATGGCGAAAGTGCGAAAAAGCTATTTTTAGCATATAGGTCACAGTCCAGGTCTACAAGGTCATTGACCTTGGTTTGATTTTAAAAAACTTAATAAGTGGAGTATGCATACCAAATATAAAGTACATGTATCGATCTATCTCTCATGGTTCATAAGTTATGGTGAAGGTTCAAAAAAACTATTTTAGCATATAGGTCAAAGTCAAGGTCACAAGGTCATTGGCCTGTTTGTCATATGTAAGAGCTTAAATGGTGGAATATGCACACCAAACATGAAGTCTCTATCTTTCAAGATTCAAAAGTTATGATGAAGGTTAGTTTGCAGACAAAGACGCTATTTTTAGCATAAATGTCACAGTCAAGGTCACAAGGTCAATGACTATGTTCTCATTTGAAAGGGTCTACTTAGTGGAGTATGCATACTAAATATAAAGTCTCTTATCTATCATGGTTCAAAAGTTATGACTAAGGTTAAAGTTTGCAGACAAACAAACAGATAAACAGACAAACAGGACAAAAACAATATACGTGTCGGAGCTAACGATCCGGGCGCATAAAAAAGCATGTTTTGATTTTCTATCACAATGAGTTGCTACATAAAATTGTCTATATACTCCATAAAAAATTACTTATTTTCTATCAAAATATTTATCCCATAAAAGAATCATCAATAAAATATGTCGAATGAAATGCACCTATAAACTTTTACCTGCCATGTAACTCGTGAGAGCTATTTCTTTCTCCCGTGAATCCAGAATCACCATTTCTCCCCCCGTTTCCTCACAAATCTCAACAGACTTCGCAAAAGTTTCTCCTTTGCGATGGAACGAAAAGCACCAGTTGGAAACATTGACAAAGCCCTTTTTACATGTTGAAAATCCTGTAAAGTTCGACTTACTAAAGTAAAATAGGGTTGAATGAAGCTGTACAGTGTACGAGAGAATCAAATATTCCATAGAATGGGGGAATAAATATCTGTTCTTCTTACCTGTTGTGAAAATCATGAGCTTAATTACCAAAACCACTTGCAATTTTTGCATATTTAAGAGCTTTTACTCTCTTAATAAAACACGTTTACTGCTAAAAAAAAGTTGCTCTTTCAGATTTCACACTTGAAAGAGTGGTAAAACATCAATGTTCGATATACCTTGGCGATCGGAAGAAATAAATTGTTAATCACTATGTGTAACATTCTAATGATCTAGGGCTCAAAAACTGTCGGTTATGAATTGAGTAAAATAAAAAATCAAGTTTTTAAAATATTTTTCATGAGGCTTTGTATAATGTAGCGTATTTTTCTTTTAATTCGAGCTGAAAAAAAAATCAAAATTTTATATAGAGAAGATGTGGAGGATCAAATTTTTTTTTTGTATTGTAATCAGTTATTTTTTCCAAGTCATCTGTTTGTTATTCTAAAATCTAGAAGAAATGAATGAATTACCGAAAATAATTAAGTCTAAAGAATTCTATGCACAATAAATAATAACTTTTTTTTAATGTAAGGTGTACATGTATTTACATTTGGTTCAGTCTCTGTACAAGCTTGAAATAACAGCAAATTGATAAAATTTATAAGTACTGCATTTTAACTCTCAGCAAAGGTTAAAAGTTACATGTAAAAGAGCCTCACATTACTTGAGTTTTGCAAATCAATCAAATGCTTCAAACTATTACAATTTATAACTAACCAATGAAAATTTTTTTAGATCAGGACATTCTTCAGTACATTATATTAATCTTTCTTAACCATCTTGTTAACATACATGTACTGTACCTCTACCTCTTAAATCAATACTTGTGTTTACAATATCTGTTTCCCTCTGTTGTTACGACAGAAAGAACAATCTATAGCAAAGGGAAAGGATTGTACTTAACAAATATTTACAAATATAATTGATAAAGAGGCGTTCGTTTTCTTCTTGAATGCTCCATCGTTGCTTGTAATTCTTCACTAAAACACTGGCGGTTAATTCTTGTCAAAAAAATAAAAGTATAACTTGTTTATAAGTTTTACAATGAAACATATGGAGATAACGAACCAGATTCATGATCAAAAGTCCATTAAACAATAGAAAATAGGAGAAGAGCAAATAAGGAGCTTCAAAGCTCCGGGGGTTGTATCAGGTGCCATGGGGGAATAACCATCCCCGGCCGATCGGTAACACCCGCCGTGTAATTCTTGTCGTTATCGGGAAATGACGAAAAAAATCCGTCGTCAGTCATTATGAGAAAAAATTGATACAAAGAAATATATGCGGTATAATTTTGCCCCTACAAAAGTCATTTTGAAAATTTCTTGAAATGCGCTGAATTTTTATACATGTATGTTTTATGAAAAATCTAAATTTACAAAAATTATCTAGATTCACAGCAGGGTTTTGGCATTTTTTGTTTTTCTGACGTCACAAACAATTTGAAGTATATATATTTTCTAGAAAGAGAAAAAAATTTGCAACATTTGCTCAATTTTTAACTGTAGGCCTGCTCCAGAACAATATTTTTATATTTCATTAATATCATTCTACGTATCATACAGTTGTTAGAGCGCTTACTCTAGGGTCGCGAAATATGGAGTTGATCCTAACGTCGCGGGTTCGAATACCACTGTGGGATGTGGAGACCTGTCCTTCGGATGATACCGTATAAACCAAGGTCCCGTGTCGCAGTAGGTGCTGGCACGGAAATGATCCCTCCCAGCTCTATTGCCCCGAGTGCCAAGTAAAGGACAAAATTTGCAGCTATTTAACGGCAAGTGGTGGCGTCTCCATATGAGTGAAAAATTTTCGAGAGGGACGTTAAACAATATACAATCAATCAATCTACGTATCATATCAAAATATTTGATGGATCGGACCTGCGCTCGGTGACTTTCACTCAAATACTCCTTTTTCATTAGAAATCGTGGAAATTTCAAGTATACGTCATTTTGCTGACGTCACATTAAACATATGATGTCATGGCTAATGAAAAACACCCGTGTTTTAGAACATTATTATATATTTCTCCGCCAGAGTTTGATTTTAGGGGCAAATATTCCTCACTGCCGATAAAATTTCTTTAATCTTAAACAATATTCAATTGATCTCATAACACAGTCATTCGGAAGATGCTATTCAAACTCGATATATTTTATCAATTACAAATTCAATAGATAGTTTTCGATTGACCTAAATTTAGCAAGAGTTACTTCCCGTTGGCCGCCATACTGGAGGTCATTGTTCAACCAATTTTAAATTTTTATATTTACGATTTTGAATTAGGAATCATTATTTTTCTGAAGTAAATAAATTTTTGTAAGCCTCCTTTATTTAAAAAAAAATATTTTATAGCGATTTTCCACCAAATATTTCTGCTATATTTTCTTAAACTTGGTAAGACAAAGAGGAAAACTCATCGAGTCGACCTCCAATATGGCGACCAACGTGAGGTAACTTTTGCTAAAATTAGGCCCATCGAAAACTATTTCTATACAGTCTCAAACAATGTGGACTATTTACATGTACTAATCTTATATGAATTCTATAACATTAAGTAAACAACAAACGTGTTCTGTTGTACAGTTACAGCCTTAGAAATTACTTAGGTACTGATTTACAAATAACGTACTTTATTATTTTACCAGTCGCCTGCTTGGCGCATTGGTTAGAGCTTCTGCTCTAGAGCTGCGAAGTAAGGAGTTGATCCTTACGTCGCGGGTTCTAATCCCATTTTGGAACGTAGAGGCCGGTCCTTCGGATGAGAGCATAAAAGCCGAAATTCAGTATCGCAGTAGGTGCTAGAACGAAAAAGACCCTTCGTTACTAAATGGCCGTAAGTGCCGAATATAGGACAAAATTTACAGCTCTCCTCCGGTAAACGTTTGCGTCTCCAAAAAAGTGAAATTTCTCGAGAAGGACGAAAAACATACAATCAATCAATAATTTTCTAACAAACTCAGTTCGAATTATCCCAGTCTTCTCTTGATCATAATTAAGTATATTAAAAAATTGGTAAAACTTTGCGAATGGCACATTCAAACATGTATAATAACAAAGCAAATCTTCGTGGGTAAGCAAATTTTATCAACCCGCTCCAAATCGCCATGATGTATGATAACATATTACAGACATTGGCCCATTTATTTGAAAAATCAGCCTGCTCCAAGCTCAGACAATTATATTCAAATATTTCAGGCATTGACTCGGAATGGTAAAAAAAACGAGTCGTAAATACGTACTGTAATTAAAAGTTAGTTGCCTTTTTGAGTTGACACTCTGGGGACAGACACGACAGTCAAACATCTGTTGAAAACAAATGAGGAGGTATGACACAGTCCTGCATATAGTTAAATACAGTAATACTTACGACTACGTATATAATTAATAATTAATAATTATTTTTGTTAAAAAAAGAAAATGTTTATAATTATCTCATTGATTGTGCAGATTGATGGGTGTCGTCCTTCCCAGATTATGGTTGATAGTTTTCGTAACACATGATAGGCCTCTTCAAATCTCATAAGATATGATATTCTCTGTTGAACAGTATTGGGACCTTCCCCTAAATTCTACACAATTTAGGATTCATCTTATTTGCTCTCCTTGCATTAAGCAATAGAAATTCTCTAACATCATACTGACTTAGTTTTGTATTATGATCATATTCCTTCTTTTGTCGAGTCCCAGCTTTCAGCATTTTGATCTTGCCAGTTCATAAATATCAAATGTTTCTGCAATTTTCTGGCATATTCACAATAAAAATCAAATGGTCACTTATGATTATCATGACGTCCTTATAAAAACCAATGAGAAGTTCAATTTCTCTTCCCATCATAAGTAAATTTTGGGTTTCTCCTGATTGATGATGATCCGCCCCCTTTCCCGCAATTTCACCGGACCTGTACCTGAAGTGTATTAAATTATGCTAAGCGATCTCGATGTATTGATTGTTGTTTAACGTCCTTCTCGAGAAATTTTCACGCATATGGAGACGCAACTACTTGCCAGTGGAGAGCTACAAATTGGTCCTATACTCGGCAGTCAGGACCATTGAGCAAGGAAGGATGTACGTGCCAGCTGTACTGCAACAAAGGACCTCGATTTAAACGGTTTCATTCAAAGGACCGGTCTCCACGTCCCACAGTGGGATTCGAACCCGTGATGTAAGAATTGACTCCTTACTTCGCGACTCTAGAGCAGACCCTCTAACCACTTCGCCACGCAGGCGACCTCGATGTATTTAAAATCAATGCGAGATTCACGGGAATTGCAGTTATGTCAGTTGGAGGATCATATGACTGATTACAATGTCGAAATAACTTAGAAAGTCGGTTATTTACAAAGTCACATTTTAGGGAAACGCATGTTTGTGTGTCAATCTTTCGTACAAAATTATTTGTTATCTTAATGTAACTAACGGAGAAAACTCGGATTGACAAAATATCGAAAACATAACATTTTTTTTTCGGTCCTTGTTCTTGATAACGGGACAAAAATATCCTTGGCTACTCTGTCCATTGCGGCGTCAACTAGATACTGTTTCATATGGGCCTTGGGTTGTTAAGAAACTGGGTTATGTATTTGGCAAATGGGACACTCTTGACACCAGTTTATTATATATTTCTTATTATTGAGCCAGTAAAATCTCTGGCGGATCTTATGCAAAGTTCTCTAGTCTTACTGTTTATGTGTCCTAAAAAGGATACCTGCTTCTGAAACAGATTGCATTTCTTTGGGGAAATCTGAGATTTATAGCATTTTCTTTTTTATCCTATGCAGCAGCGAGTCTCTCAATGCACCGATGAAAAGATACTTACTTTAATGTCAATATACGAGGGCTGTCCCAAAATTTCGTAGACTGAGCTCATATCTTTTAAAGAAATTAATGTATCTTCCTACAATTTTCACGGCGGATAAAGCGTATTCTTAGCAGATAAATTAGGAAGTTTTATTATGTTTACTTGAAAACTTTTCGAGTA